AGGAAGCGAATGCTGGCTGTAGGGAAAGGCAAGAGGGCCGTTGTTGATCGAGCACCTGCTCCACGGCCAGCCGGACGCTAGAACGCCTCACCACCCATCTCAGTTCACACAACGGTCCCGGAAGGCAGGCGCCCCGGCGCTCGGGTAACAGGGGAGGCGCGTGAGGCGTGGGGGATTTCAGGGAGCCCTGCCCAAGCTCCTCAGCGACAGACGTGGACTCAGCTCTCAAGACCATGCTCTTGGAGCGCCTGGGTGGCTCAGTGGGTTAAGCATCTGCCTTCAGCTCAGGTCGTGATCTCAGAGTCCTGGGATCGAGTCCCGCATTTGGCTCTCTGCTCAGCAGGGAGTCTCCTCCCCACCCCCCGCCCCGCCTGCCTCTCTGCCTACTTGTGATCTCTGTCAAATAAATAAATAAAATCTTTAAAAAAAGACCACACTCTTTTCTCCTCACAGGGAAGCCCCAATCTCACAGGGTCCTGCCAAGGGGACTCCAGCTCTGCACTACTGTGGGTGTCTGTCAGGGAGAACAGGCCGCCCCTAGAGCGGCACCCCCAGACCATACCAGTTCTGAGCACCCCTGCTCTCCCCCATTCCCTGCCTGTCTAAGGCTCACTACTCCTTCAGGGCCCAGCTCCCCAGGAACAGCAGCTAACAAATGCTGGTGCCCACTCTGCGAGGCATGGGCCCCTGCCCTCCTGCCCCTCCTGAGGGCCCTCTCCTGCTCGCCCTGGCCCTGTCCCACTCAGATGGAGCACAGCCCCTTTCCAGGTGCCTGGTACAAGGAGCCCATGCCCCTGTGCCCCTGTGGCTGAGCATGCCGCCCCCAGCCCCCTGAGAGCCCTCCTGCCTGGTGACGGTAGCCGCCTCCCCTGTCTGTGCCAGGCCCTCCTGGATGCCTGACACGGTGGACTTTAACAGAATCAAGCCGGTGGAAACCAGGGTAATGGGCTTTAGGTCCCCAGGGTTGGTTCATGGGAGGAACTCACAAGCTACCTTGGGGCAATGCCAGAACCTTCATGATGCCGTGTGGGAAACGGAAGAGTAATGAACCTGAGCCAGCACTTGCCCTAAACTCAGGGCGATCATCTCAGCACTTGCTCTGTTTTCCTCCATGAAGTAAAAGGACATACAGGAGAGAACACAGATCAGAAGCAGACCCCGTGGTGAGTGATCACACTCGTGCAGTCAGCACCGAGGATGAGAAACAGCCTAGGAGTGACCTTCATGCTTCCTGCCAGCCGCTCCCGAGCCAAGAGTCACCACGGCTGTGACTTCTAGCCACTCGGGTTTGCGTTCAGATGTGCGCGTGGACTCCTGGGTCTGGCTCCTCCGGTCCGTGAGATTCACCCACGCTGGGTTTAGCTACAGGTCGTTCACGCTCATCGCTGCCCTGGATTGGTTTTGTAATTCTACTGTCGGCAGGCCTCTGATGCATCCCGGTCTGGGACTGTTATTAGAATAATGCTACAAGGAATCATCTAGAACAGTAGTCCCCCCTTGTCTGCAGGGCACATGTTCCAAGACCCGCAGTGGAGGCCTGAAGCCGTGGGAAGTCCCGAACTCTAATATATACTCCATGTTTTCCTCCACATACATACCTCTGCTAAAGTTTATAAACCCAGCGCAGCAAGAGTGAGCATCAATAACAATAGAACTGTTCTAACAACAGCGGTAATAGATATTCCGTGAATGTGGTCTCTCTGAAACAGTCTGTACTGTGCTCGCCCTTCCGCGCGAGGAGATAAGGGAGGTGAATGGCAGACACCCGGTGACAGAGCATTAGGCCCCTGTGGACCCGCGGAAGGTAGGTCAGAAGGAGGCTCATCGCTTCCAGACTCCAGCTGGCCCCACGTTTAGCCACGGAAAGCAAAACCACGGATGAGGGGAGACCACGGTAGGAGGCGTTGGGTGCGCTTTTGTCTGTATTGTTGGGTTTCTGCCAGGAGTGGGATTACTGGGCTGCACAGTCTGTACTTCTCTGCTCTACTGGACGCTTCAGGCTTTATTGCTTGGTACCAACTTACCATCAGCCCGGAGTCTCCAGCTGACGTTCATCGAGATGGAATAGTTGTCCATTGCAACGCCGCTTGTAACGGGCTCCACTCGGAGGTCCCCCAAGTCTCCTGGGGTCAGAGTGTGTTGGACCATCCACTCTGGAGACCGTCCTGGGAAGAGGCAAAACTGCTTGGGACACTCTTCTCCTGGCTCCGTCCAGTGCCATCTCGTCTCAGCGACCCACCCTGACCCGTCCTTCGGTCATGATTCATCTCTTCCTGCTGCTAAGGCAGGCCAGGCCTGACCTTTCTTAGCGCTTGCCTGATTTACGGCGGAGATTTCAGACGCCAGCCCACGGGGCACTCGGGACCGCTCCACGGGCCTGTCCTATGAATCTGACCTGCTCGTTAGGTCGGTCTTGCCTTCGGAGCACCTCAGCCTGCACTCCAGCCAGCTGGCCCACACCTGCCCTTCCTACCTCCTAATCCTCGCTGGTACCATCTCTCCTCCAGCTCATCCTTTCCATCCATATTTCTTGGGCAAGACCCCACCCACCCTTCAAATACCACCATCTCAAAAACACTCCTTCTTTTCTGAAACACCGGCTTCCTGTTCTCAACTCTAAGTGACCGCCTATCACAGCATTTGATCTCCCAGAAGTGGCCCGCTTCCTTCCCACCCTAAATGGTGAATGCTGCTGCCTGTGCCCCTTTTATTGGCCAGGGAGCCAGCCCATATGAAACCCTGGGAGCTCTGCCTTGCCAGGGAGACACTTCGCCCACATCAGCTAACAAAGCAATGTTTCACTCTGTACCTGGTCTCCAATGACCCATTGCCTGGACGTGGGCCCCCTAAAAGTCCAGTAGCTCTGTCAGTGTAGAGCCCCAGATACCCAGTCCCTAGCACACCTACCGGGCTCAGAGCCACACTGAATCGTCTGCAAGAGAGAAAGAAAGTGTCATGTTGAATGCTAGCAAACCCTAAGCCTTCACTTGCCAAATTAGACAAAACACCATCTTTTTCCTTTTCTTTTTTGAAGATTTTATTTATTTGACAGAGAGAGAGCACAAGCGGGGGAGCAGCAGGCAGAGGCAGAGGGAGAAGCAGGCTCCCCACTGAGCAGAGAGCCAATGCCGGACTTGATCCCAGGACTCTGGGATCATGACCTGAGCCGAGACAGACACTTAACCGACTGAGCCACCCAGGGGGCCCTAAAACCATCTCTTTTCTTAAAATGCATATTTAAGTGGCAAACTTTTGGAGAAAAGCTGGGGTGATTCCACTTCAGTTTGGGGGAGACTGAGCTGGCTAAGCTTTGTAGGCTACGATGAACCTGACATTAGCTATTACGTACTTGATCTTCAAGTCTGCTCATCCCCTCACTTAAAAACTAGAGGTGGGTCTCCGCCCCTCTCTGTGCCTCACCCCACTTCCCCTGCTATAGGCAGGGGTGACTCTGGACTTTCATGAAGACCCCTTCACACTCTGCTGTTCAACTGCAGATTTTCAGGACCATCTAGAGTATTTATTGATTCTCCCCAGGTTAAGGACCAAGCTGTGTGAAGAAGATAAACAGAAGCAAGCCATAAATGCAGGCCATGGTGCCTTCCCAGGGCCTTTAAAATAGTCCTCCTCTGATACCAACTCAGCTGTGACTGTGATTTCATCCTGTTATCTTTTTAAAAGATAAAAGAGCTTTTAAAAAATAAGTATGTATCATTAGTGTCCAAGAAAGGCCAGTACTACATCCCTTGGAGGTAATGGCTCATGTCTTTTTAAGCAAAAAAATAAATAAATAAATAAATAAAAATTAATAATAATAATAGTAATAATAATAATTAGTACTTTCATTTTGGAGTAAAATGCTGGACCTAAAATAGTTAACTTTCAGGCAGCAGCAAGTTCCAATAACAAAACCCTATAGGCTAAAAGGCTACCGATTTGCTATCTGATACCTCTCAGCCTGAACATTTCCAAAATCTTGTATGAAAGAAGGCAAGGCTTTTGATGGTTTGAGTAATCTGGGTTTGTTAGTCCCTCATCTTTGTCTTTTTACAGCTGAACTCCACGTAATATCAGATTTTTTTTTTTTTTTTTTTTAAACAAGCCACTATAGCGGGAGCTGAGTTCTAGTCAAAGGGCTGGAGAGACGAATTTTGGAAGAAGCAAAGCAACAAGGATAGTAGGGGGAGACATCAGGTAACATGAATGCAGCTTATCTTTCCATAACCATCAACAAGTTACCACCAGCTTTTATGCGCTATACTATGCTAAGAAGGCAGAGATATAGGTTCAAACGCTCTTTGTTAGATTCTCCTTCATTGGTAACCCAGAAGATTCCCTCAATCCTTCAGGGCACTGGGGAAGAAGGAAACCCAGCCAGAGTCCCAGAGCTCCCCAGCTCCAGGGTCATATTACCCCAGCGGGTATCAACATGGCAAAAAGGGCAAGTGGTGATGGAGATATGGTTCTTGTGCCCGAAGTTGGGCAGCCCTCAAGACTGCGAATAGTAACAATGTTGAGCACCTACTACGTGCCACGCTCTTTGCGGCCGTCTTGCACGCCCTGTCGCTGTTCCTTACTAGATCCGAGTGAGCTGGGTATGACTCTTCCCTTTATAGACGAGGACACGGAGCCTCGGGGAGCAGGAATGACTGAGTCCAGAACGCTGGCTGGCATTTGAGTCCGGGTCCATCTGACGACGCCCCTAGCTCCAGCAGCCTGAAGCCCAGGGCGGCCTGGCCGGGACCGTCGGGTCGCCCCAGGGGGTGCGGACGTGCCCCTTCCAGGCGGCCCTCCGTGAACCAGCTTGGGTTGGGGTGCGCGGGGGAGGGCGGGGGGGGCATCGGACGCCGTCGGGGTCCGGGCTGGAGGGACCGAACGCAGGAAAGGGGCGCGGGCGGAGGCTTACCGGCTCCGAGGACGCCGCTCCCCAGCACAGCATGGCCAGGCTCAGCAGCACTAGCGACATCGCGAAGCCCCCGCCCAGCCTCCAGGCGGCCGCGCTCTTATCTCGGCGCCCCGGGCCACCCCTCGGGGGCCCCGCCTCCCACAGCGCCGCCCCGGCCCGACGCTTGGGGCCGAGGGCGGACCCCTCCCTGGGTGGGGAACGCAGGACCGCCCAGGCCTGCGGGAGCTCGCCGGGATGGGCCGCGTCCCAGCGCCGCGGGGCACCTGACGGGCCCAGCACCAGCCGGCGCGGCGCTCCCCGGGCCCCGCGCACGTGCGAGCACTGAGCTAGGTGCGCGATTGCACACGCGCCCTCGGGCGGGCCCGAATCGAACAGCCCGCCCGCCCGCGGCTCCCCTGCAGGCCGCCAGTTAGAGGGGAGCGGGGCCCGGGGCCGGTTCGCTGCCGCCCGCTCCGCCGCAGCCCCCTGTTCCGGCCGCCGAGGGTAAGTAGCGGGGGGACATGACCCGACCCTCCGACCCCCCGGCCGCCCGCCCTCTGGCCTGACCGCAGTCCCGGAGCCCCGGGCGGCCTCGGGCCGGGGAGCGGGGGAGTCGGGAAGAGCCGGGCTGGCCGCCGAGGCTGGAGCCCCACTTTACGCAGAGGCCCAGCCCCCGAAACCAAAAGGCTGGCGGGGGGTGGGGGGTGGGGCGGGGACGCGGGCATCCGAAGCCTCGTGGAGTTCTTTGGGGAACTAGTTCTTCGCCGGAACTAAGTTGTATGTTGTTCGGGTGATCGAAATCCCCCTCCCCCACCCCCAGCTTCTCTGGTGTGTGTTTATTTCCACAAAACGAGGTATGACACGAACTCTTGGGTCTCGGAAGGCGGAAGTCGGGGCTGCTGTGGGCTTGCAGCCGCGCCACACGGGTTTCACTGCGCCCAGGAGTCTCCGAGACGCCTTAAATGCAAATCCCGGGCCCGCCCTCAGATTCCGAGGGGACCCCTGGGGCTGCCTCACCCTCGGGCCCCTTACTCAACCTCTCCGAATTGGTTTGAACCCTGTGGTCCCTGAGACCATTTCCAGCCCTGATAATTATCTGTCTTCTCAGCAAACACCAGTAGGGTGCCAGTCCTGGGGTGCAAAGGTGAATGACACACAGTTGCTGGCAGATGGGCACTCTCGGGCCAAAAAAGAGTGAGATGAGCGCACGTTCAAGGGCATATGTTCCCGCCCTGCAGGGAAATTGCTGTTGGAGACAGCCTCACAGGCCAGGTGGAGATCGTGAACTTTGTCCCGTGGTGCCAAGGAGCAACAGCAGAGTTTTAGTGGGGGGACAGTTTTAAGCCTTATAAAGGCCACCTGGGTGGCTGTGCAGGGCAGAGGGGGCCTGCCCCTCCCGAGACCAGAAAGAAGGTACATATTCCCTCGGTGAACAGCTGAGTGTCATGGGCTCAGTTCTGAGCTGCGCCAGCTGTATACAGCTGTGTGCCCCAGCAAGCCTTGCTGTGGGAAGGCGGGGCTGAGTGCGAGGGTTTCGGGGACAAGCAGGGTTAGAGAGATGAAACCGGGAGGTAGGGTTTATGAGCCAGACATATATGGGGGGAGCAAATCCAGGGGTGAGGGAGCAGTCCCCCTGGATCAAATGGTCAGGGTTGGCCTGACTTACATCACTTACATCACTGGCTATCAGGGGTGGCTTTGGCAAGAAGGGGAGAAAGAGGGTTCAGAGACGGGAGTGGGGTAGGGGTGGTTTTAAGAAAAGAAGAAGTGGGGGTTCCTTGTACAGGGGAAGGAGCTGGTGGCTGAAGGGGGGAGGTGAGTTTGGTGTGGAGGTCACAGAGCATGGGGTGGAGGGGTTGGATGGAGGGGCCCTGGGGGAGGAGGTCTGGGGGCACGGTGCCGACACCACCCTGACCCTCTGGGGCTCCTGGTTGGTGCGGATGCCCACGGCCGGCTCTGCACACAGGACTGCGGGGTGAGGTGTGGAGAGGAAGGCCCCGCAGCCACAGCTGGTGTTCCCTGTGGGCAAGCAAGTTATGGCTGCCTGTTTTCTTGGGCGAGGGCCGGGGGTCCACACTGGCTTGGAAGGTCATTCCAAAAAGTGTCCCCTGTGAGAGGTCCTTGTGGATCAAGCATGCAGCCTTTGAGGACCCTGCTGAAAGGGGCACCATTTGTTTGGCTACAAAGGTCCAATAACGCGGTGGCTTTATTTTATTTTTATTTATTTATTTGACAGAGAGATAGCGAGAGAGGGAACACAAGCAGGGGGAGTGGGAGAGGGAGAAGCAGGCTTCCAGCTGAGCAAGGAGCCTGAGACGGGGCTCGATCCCAGAACCCTGGGATCCTGACCTGAGCAGAAGGCAGACAGACGCTTAACGACTGAGCCACCCAGGCGCCCCACGCGGGGGTTTTATAAACCGGAGGCAGGGCCACTGAATCCCCAGTGGTCTCCATGTCCCCTTTCTCTCTGTGACCTGTGGCAAGTCACTGCTCTTCCCAGAGCCTCAGTTTCCTTTCCTGTACCATGGGGCAGAGAATAGAGTGAAGTGCCGTCCGCTGGAGAGGTGAGCCGAGCCTGGGAGGGAAGGAACCTTGGAGGTCCTCGGGCCCGGGCCCTTCAGTCAGGAATTCTGCCTGTTTTGGGTTTGTCAAAGGGCCTCAGTGCTGGGGATTTAGGAGGCCCCGTGGATGCACCCCTTCCCCCCAGGTGGTGCTTACGAACCTGGCTACCCAGGAGAGCTGCTCTGGGCTTCTTCCTTTTTCTCCTCTTCCTCCTCCTCTGGCGGGGTGATGGTCAGGGCCCCTCCCGGAGCCCGCAAGACTGCCGCTAGTGCCTGGGGGTCCTGACCCCAGACTTCCCAGGACAGGCTCTGGGACGCCGCTGGTGGCTGGGACTCCAGGGCTTGCCTGGCTATGCTGTGCACCAGCTGCTAGCTGCTGCCCATGGAGCCCCAGTTTCCCCGTCTGTGACCTGGGGCGGACACATCTCCTCTCCGGGCCGGGCAGGGCTGTTGGAGACTCGGAGGAGATAGGAAGAAAGTTGAAGGGTTCGGGATGCCGTGTAAATTTGGGGTCAGGGAAGGCAGGACAAAAAACCAAATTAGTGCCTTTGGGACCCAAGTAAAGGAATTCCTCTGGACCCAAGTGCCCTGACAGCCTCAGGTCCTGTCACCTCTGTCAGGCCTTTGTTTTCTCAGGCTCATCCATCCCTGTGAGAACAAGGCCGTTGAGGTTGTTGACATGCCCTGTGGCCCGCCTCCACCCAGATGGAATTTTCCACTGTGCTCCTTTTGCAAATATTAATCAAGGCCCCGGCCAGTCAACAGTGGACTCATTGTCTCTTGAAGAGCAAGCAGTTTCTGGCAGCTTCCCAGGGCCTCGGCGGCCCACCTGAGCTGGGACATGTGGCCGTTGGGCGCACCCCTGCCCTCTGTAGCCCTCCGACCCCTCTGTTCTGCCTGGTTGAGCTTTGCAGGGTCAAAGGCTGCTTTGAGCCAACGGGAAGCCACACGAAAGGCCTGCACCGCACCCCACTGTTCCCCACAGGGCCGCACAGCAGAGATGACCTGCTCTGCTGCTATGAGGAGGGGCAGGCCCAGAACAGTGCACTAGGACTCGGGCCTGTCCCAGGAGGAAGGCCCGTGAGGTCCCAGCCCATGTGCACCTGCACGGTGCTGGCCTGTGTTGTCACACTCCAGCCTGAAGCTCGTCGGGACACGGGGGCAGGGACCGCTGTTCTCCCCAAGCCCCATCCGTCCATGGGGTGCTCTCAGGAGGTTTACTGGAGACTCCGGGTGCACAGAGCAGGTTGATGATCTATGTTTTGACCGGTGATACGTGAGTTAATCTATTATCAGTGGTATTATTATTGGCCCTGCTGGCACCTGACAGAGGAGGAAGCAGGGCGAGTGGGGCTATGTGGGGAGCAGGGCGAGGACAGGACCCTGGCCACCCTGGGGTTGTGACAAAGTCGCCGTGTGCTTTGGTTTGGCACTTTTCATTTTTTGAAGGGTGTTTTTTGGCTCTTACTAACTTTTGCTCTCTCAGCAAACCTAAGAAAGACGTGGCTCTGTTCCCATTTTACAGATGGGAAAACTGAGATCCAGAGGGGCTATATAAGCCACGAGCAGTGACCGCCTTGGGGCTGGAATCCAAGGACCTTGGCCAGCAGCTCCTTTCCTTTTCAGAAAGCCCATCATTATACGAGGGGACCCCACAGACAAAGTCACTGTGGGAAATTGCTGTAGGTTTTTCAGCTCTGACTTCCGATTCTGTGCTTATCTCCCCCAGACCATCGGCAGCAGCGTGTGGGCCAGCTCTCCTGCATCCGGTCGTATGTAGGTGGGAGGTGGGTTTCAGACGCCATAACCATGTCAGTGGGACACCGGGCTAGTGTCCCATCCGACAAGCAGGGATTTTCTTACCCTCCTCAAAAATCCAGCCGGTGTTCACGTTCCCAGGATCTAAGTAAGATCACGAGTTAGTCTTGAGATTTCTTCGCTCCTCTCCCCGTCTCATTTATTTTTCGCTGGAATCTGTTCTTGAAGAGATGTATGGCATTCCCCTGACCGGGTTTCTAGGTGGCCTTTTCGGTGCTCCTCTGACTTTCTTCTGAATTGGTGGGTGGATCCAGAAATGTGAGCAGATTCAGGTTTGAGTTTTTAGGCAAGGGGATTTCGTCGGTGTGGGTCTCTCCTGATCGGATGGGGGACCCCCCAGATGTGGGGTGACTGCTGTCACCTTCTGGCATCTGAGGGCACAGAGCCAGGTGTGAAGGCGGTACCTCCAGGGACAGTGCCTCCCTTGGGGCACTAAGGGCCTCCACGGTCACTAGGAGCCGAGCTTCGTGCTCGGGTCTGCTCAGGCTGTGTCTACACGGTCACTGTTTAAAAGCTTAACAGGTCCTTTCATGTGGCTGGGCCCATTCTTTCACTCTGCCATCCCCTCTTGGTAGATGGTTAGGTTTTTTGTTTTTTTCTAATTTATTAATTTGACAGAGATCAGAGGCAGGCAGAGAGGCAGGAAGAGAGAGAGGAAGGGAAGCAGGCTCCTGCTGAGCAGAGAGCCCGATGTGGGGCTCGATCCCAGGACCCTGGGATCACGACCTGAGCTGAAGGCAGAGGCTTTAACCCACTGAGCCACCCAGGCGCCCCGACACTTAGATTTTATCATTGCTTGCCGGCGGAAACCGCTCGGGTCAGACCTCTTCTGCTTGCCTTTTTGTAGTCGTGAAGACTTCTCTTCTGGTTAAATTCTAAGAAGTGAGATCGTGGAGATGAAAGGTGGCCCTTTAAAGCCCAGATGTGTCCATTCCCTTCCGGAAAGGTTTGCACACTCCGTTCCTGTGCCCAAAGCAGATTCACTGTCATTGGCCTTGCCCTCGTGGAGCTTCTCGAAGGCCGGAGTAGCCTGGGACTGCTTGCTCCCTCCCCAGAATGGTCATCTCTTCCTGGGTTACCAACGAAAACCAGGACTTCGGTGGCCCAAGGAGCCTGGTCCTAGCC